CTAAATGGAGAAAAATTGGAAGCATTCCCATTGAATTCAGGAACCAGACAAGGCTGTCCACTATCTCTACTCCTCTTTAACATAGTGCTTGAAACTCTTGCAAGAGCAATAAGACAAGAGATGGGAATTAAAGGAGCAATAACTGGAAAAGAAGAGAACAAATTATCCCCTTTGCACATGATATGATACTATATCTAAAAGACACCAAAAATTCCACTAGAAAACTCCTAGAAATTATTAACACATTCAGTAAAGTGGCAGGTTACAAAATTAACCTACAAAAGTCTGTAGCCTTTCTATATACCAATAACAAGCAATCAGAGAAAGAGCACATGGAAACACTCCCCTTCACAATAGCTGGAAAAAAAATCTCGGAATAAACCTGATCAAAGACATTAAGGACCTCTACAATGAAAATTTTAAATCTTTAAGGAAAGAGATTGAGGAAGACACCAGAAAATGGAAGGACCTCCCATGCTCATGGATTGGAAGAATTAATATTGTGAAAATGACCATCCTACCAAAAGCCATTTGTAGATTCAATGCAATGCCAATCAAAATCCCCATGACATTTTTCACAGAATTGGAAAAAAACCATCCTAAGATTCAGATGGAAGCACAAAAGACCACAGATAGCCACAGCAACACTGAGCACTAAGAGCAATACCAGGGGGATTACTATACCAGATATTAAGCTGTATTACAGAGCTATAGTCATAAAAACAACATGGCACTGGCACAAAAATAGACCTGTAAATCACTGGAACAAAAGTGAAGACCCAAGTGTGAGTACATGCAATTTCAGCCACTTGATATTTGACAAAGGGGCCAAGAACATTCACTGGAGGAAAGACAGCATGTTCAGCAAATGGTGCTGGCAAAACTGGATCTCCACCTGTAGAAGAATGAAACTAGACCCCTATCTTTCACCTTGCACAAGTCAACTCCAAACAGATCAAAGACCTCAATGTGAAGCCTGAAAGTCTGGAACTGTTATCAGAAAACATTGGCGATAACTTACAAGATATAGGTGTAGGAAAGGACTTTCTAAACTGGACAACAATTGCTCAGGAAATAAGGTCAAGAATCAACAAATGGGACCTTATTAAACTAAAAAGCTTCTGTACATCAAAAAAAGCAACCAAGGAAGTGAAGAGAAAACCCACAGATTGGGAGAAAATCTTCACCAGCAACATATCTGACAGAGGTTTAAAATCCAGAATATATAAAGGACTCAAAAAACAAAGAATCCAGAAAGCAAGTAACCCAATTAAAAGATGGGCTAAGGATCTGAACAGAGAGTTCTCAAAACATGAAATAAAGATGGCTATAAAGCATCTTAAAGGGTATTCAACATCGTTAGTAATTACGGAAATGCAAATTTAAACCACTTTAAGATTTCATCTTACCCCAGTCAGACTGGCTAAGATCAAGAGCACAAATGATACCAAATGTTAGAGAGGATGTGGGGAAGGGGGAACACTCATCCACTGCTGGTGGAATTTCACAATTGTGCATCCCCTATGGAAAGCAGTGTGGCGAAACCTTTAGAAACTAAAAATGAACCTACCATATGAGTCAGTTATACCACTCCTTGGCATATACCGAAAGAACTCATCCTATTGCAGAGACACTTGTACATGCATGTTTGTTACTGCTTTTTTCACAAAAGCTAAGAGATGGAAGCAACCTAAGTGTTGATAATGAAAATGCGGTACATTTATACAATGGAGTTCTACTCAGCAGTAAAGGAAGATGAGATCATGAAATTTGCAGGTAAATGGATGTAACTAGAAACTGTTATACTATGTGAAGTAACACAGACTCAGAAAAACAAACGATGTATGTTCTCCCTCATATGTGGATCCTAGAACCATATCTTTATAAACAAGTATCCCAGTCACCGCTCATCAATAAGCTCATTTTGCACCAGTCAGAGGCTATTACCAAGTACAACAACTGGTTATACATGGACATTGTCTCTGAGTTGCGCAGGCCTAAGTGACACATCTATAATGTAACCTCTACACCTAAAGCTCATGGAACATGGAAGAGTTTTAATGAAGAGGACACTAATGAATCTCTCAGTTCTCAATAATGAAGCTCCTTATGCAGCAGAGGGCCAGGAACATAAAAAGGTTACAAATAGCCAAAGTGTAGAGATCAAGAGTCTGCTGAATGGTCCTTGGACAGCACCCCTTTATTAAACTTCTCCCACCCAAGGCTCAGGGACCATTGTGGAAGAGGGGGCAGGAAAGATTGTAAGAGCCAGGATGGATGTGCATGACCATAAGGAAACAGAGTCCTACAAGCTCCTGGGAACCTGGTCATATGATTCTATGGCATAGGTGTCAGCATACACAAGTCCCATGCAAACTCAGGCAGACAATAACCTAGCATAGAACTGGGAAAATGAACAGCAGACCCTAACCTTTTCTGAAGGAATGTTGGCAAATGATAGCTGCTAGATGAAGAGAAGCTGATCTTCCTAAAACAAGGGACTCTACTAGACAGGCTGACTACTTAGTGGATGGACTTGCACTGGGGAACATTTGGGGACACTGACAACCTAGTAGGCCTTAACAGGGATGACCTCATATATGGGCTCCAGTGGGGGGAAGGGATGGGGGTATAAAGATGATTCAGATTGTTTGAGCTGTTCTGTATGAAATACACAAAAAATTCAATTAAAAAATTAATAATAAAAAAAGAAGTTAGTCCTACAAAATCCCAGGTAGCTCTTTCTGGAGGGATTCTGGAAGAAGATGGTATTATGGTAGGCAGCGACAGCTCCATGCTTGCTGTGGTCCTTGAAGACCTTCCAGTGGGACAGGTGCACAGCTGGAGACAGTAATGTGCGATCTTGACCTATGAAAATCTAGGCTAATATGTGTGTTTCCGTCTTAATTTTTAACAAAAAAGCTAATTAAAAAGATTAAAACAAACTAAATATATAGGAAAAGCCTTATAGAATAAGGATATTAAAATATTTGTTAGCACTACTATAAACTATTGTGTTCTGAGCCAAGAATTATCACAAATGACTAAGTTTTTTTTTTTTTTCAAAAAGGCCAATGAGATGGCTCAGAAGGTAATTCAATCCCTAGGACCCACATGGTGGAAGGAAAGAATCAATTCTCACCAGTTGTCCTCTGATTTCCACATACGTGCCACAATATACACATGCCCCCATACATATACACACAGACAATAAACAAAATGTAAAAAAATAAAGTTAAAAATTACAAATTTACAAAGTAAAAATGCAGCAGTAAGCTCAGGTTAATTTAAATTGAGTTTCGCCTGAGTGTACAGTATTTAGAAGTCTACCACAGTGGACAGTCATGTTCTAGGGCCCCTCATATTCCCTACTGCCTCACTGACTCAGAACACCTTCCAGTCCTGTAAGTTCCACTCACAGTAGCCACTCTATACAGGTATGCTAGCTTTTATGTTTCTTGTACCTATTACAAACTTAGATATTCAAATAGGCATTATATGACAAATGCCTATGGTACCCAGTTAAGGAACACGTTGCATGGGTTTGTAGCTTAGTGAGCTGTCCTGTCTAGTTTGTTGAGAACACCCTGCGTTCATACCACAACACTGTTCATCCTGGATTTCTCAGAAAGTATCTGTACTGTGAAGACATATTCATATAAGCACACAACCAATTATTTTATACTAAAAGTAGTAAGTTAACTATTCTAAAAGAGGGGAAACCCAGTAGCTAGAATCTACTTTAAGATACTTTTCTGTTCAAGGGGAAATACCTTGATTTTTAAGTACTAATTAAACTGAGAATCCTTAAAAAAAAACTTTTCGTGTTTCCCTAATTCCAATTTCACAGTGAGCATTATACTTAATAAATAATTTTCAAGAAAAATCAACTATGCAAAATCCATTCATCAGCCATTTAATACAGGAATTTAATAGATTGTATTTATTACAATCTTATTTACAAAAATTACATTATATGTAAATTCTTAAAATTTTTGTTTCAATACTTTTTCTAAACAGAAAATAATTTTAACTTAGAAACAGATCTATTTAAATGTCAGTGCAAATTTCAAAAGAAAAATAATCCAAAGAAACAAATACTTTGACTTACCTAGATCAGCTGAAGTTCTGCTATGCCGTGTTACCTTTGCACTCCCAACACAGACCATCTCTTATTAATTTCATTGACAGATTCAAGACTCTCCAAGGGCAGGGTCCACATCCATCTTGATCCTATTACTCCCATGGCCTTGGAGAGCCATCTTTCAAATATATTTGATGAATCGACTTTAAAAGATATAAACCTAAACAAAGGGAAATACAAGATTTTACAGATATTTGAGGACAAACTAGTTCCTTATAAAGATTATATAATCAAGCAAGTAAAAAATCCACATAGTTAAAAATAGCATGAGGACAGAACTAAAGGTTATTTGTCCAAATGACTGACAAAATTGGTGTGACAAAATTAAAGCACATGTTCTCTAAGCACAAGTGCCCAAAGCTTCCAGCTCTGGCTTCCTAAGCCTAGACTCTCAGTCACAAAGGCAAAGCCTTTAAAAAATAACAAGTATTTCTGTGAAAAATTGTGTTAGAATTTTAGTGATTCTATAGCTCTTTATATATATGTATATATACACACATATGTATATAGTAGTAATATACACATACATATGTAGTAGTAAGGGGCTACAGATGGAGGAAGGGATCTAAATATGATCAAAATACATTATATGAAATTTGTAAAAATTCAATAAAAAGGGAAAAAATAACAAGTAACTTCTGAAATGGAATTTACTACTGTAATCTAAAGAAGCATTATCATTTAAAGAATTTCATTAATTGATTGTTTTGAAATCCATTTAAGTTAAAAACCTTTTAAAAAGAATTATGGAGTAGCAAATATCCTTAAACAAGACCCCCTCACCTCAGCACACACACTAGTCATTGCTCTTGATTTATGACAGGAAGCCAAATCAATACTCATTAGTGAAAATGTATATTTTGAGTAATGTCTATATTTATACAATTCACTAGTTCTGAATTAAGCCTACTCATGTACTTGCATTTCAGTTTTAAGAAAATGTTAAGCAAAGTGGAAAGTTATACTTTTATCAAATCAATATCAAAGTTTTCTGGGGCAAGAGAGATGGTTCAGCAGTTAAAAGCACTTGCTACTCTTGCAGAGGATCCAAGTTCAGTTCTCAGCACACAAATCAGGTGGCTCAAAACCACCTGTAACTCCAGATCCAGGGTATCTGATACCTCTGGCCTCTGTGGGCACCTGCGCCCACATAAATAAACCCACATGTATACACATAATTAAAAAAATAAAAAAGTTTTCTGGCTTCAGTGGCTGGCTGAAGCCATATGCTTCCTTATACATGTCCATCTTTTGTCAAAGCAGGATAAAGGTCATGAGTTTATTTGCTAATAAACACAGTTAATGACTCTATAGACCAGGTGTTGGAAACTTCTGTAAAGGCTTAGAAAGGAAATGTTTTCAGTATTGCGGGCCCTGTGGTATCTGTATCCATCTCTGCTCCTGCTGCTGTATGTGAAGGCTCTAACAGATGATGTAAAGGATGTTTACAACATTCCTAAAGCTTTATTTCTCAACATTAAAATTCAATTGTCTAATTTCCATGCACCATAAACACTTTTTTTTAACTAAGTTAATGGCTTAGTATATCTGATTTATATAAAACTTACTAGCCATGTAACTTTCCTTAATGCTAGCCCAACCCTTCCCCAACAACAATGAAGAAAACCATTATTAACAACCACCATGATGGAACTAAGTTCTCAATTTTCAAGTGGGAAGCTATTAGCATAACAAGAGTACCATAAACGAATATGAATTTTGAGGTTACAAGTACCAAACAGTATTCTCAGCATCTTAAGAATGTATTAGACAATTTAATTTTCATCAGTCATGAGATGGATATTTTTATGCTATTTTACATATAAAGAAACTAAGGCACAGAGAGCTCACATGAATTCTCTCAGCTTATACAGCTAGTAAATGTATACCATAGGCTCATGGATAGGTACCAGTGTCTGTCCTTTAACCTCATAATCCTTTTTTAAATAAAATTTCCGGGGGCTGGAGAGATGGCTCAGCGGTTAAGAACACTGGTTGTTCTTGTAGAAGACCTGGGTTCAAATCCCAGCACCCACATGGCAGCTAACAACTGTCTATAATTCCAGTTCCAGGGGGTCCGACAGCTTCTTCTGTCCTCGCGGGCATTGCATGAGATGGGTGCACTTACCTACATGCAGGCAATACATGCATACACATAAAATAAAATAATAAAATAAAAAATAAAAAATTTAAATAAGATTTCCATTTCATGTGTCAAACAATTCTCAAAAATTAAAATGCACAATAGAATACGCACAGATGGAAAACACTAACATACTTAATGCTCAGTAATAAGGAGCTAAGCTTTATTGGGCTTCCAACGGACAGTAACAAAAACAGAAGTGTTCGGATGGAGATGAACTTCAATATTCTCATGGAAAAACTCAGAAGCAAATCCCTGCTCCTTCCTATGTGTGCTGTCAAATAGAACACATAAGTGACAATGTCCCAGGAAAAGGATGGTAAAAGCCAAGTCACTACTGCTGTCTCTAAATGACTTCTGAGCTTCCAATTGAAATTCCTTCCAGCTTTGCTATGCTTACAGGGCATTTATACATTTATAATGTTCATCTGCTACTGAAGCATTAGTAACAACACTAATGGCCTGAGAGATAGATGCCTTTCTTATACCAGTTACAGTCTTATTAACTTAATCTGCACACGTCTGTACACTGTTTTCCGCTTTTACCAGTTAGTTGGCTCTGAGTACTGGTATTCCAAATCCAGCTATATGTGGAACAATGATATTCCTCAGAAGACATTTGAAGAAAAGTTAGGGTATAAATTAAAATTTATTTCAGTGTGGTGGTAAAGTGCAAAAGTGGCTTTTAGAAGTTATGATGAAAGACTTCTACTTATATATAACTGCAGAATAAAAAAACATTGAAGAACTTGACATTTGAGGACTTTGGCTGGCCGAGGAAGTAAGAAATGGCAAATAGTGAATTCATTCCAAAGAGCTGTCGCTAGAAGGTAGCTATGTGCCAGACAATTACTTCAGAGTCTACTTTCATTACTTATGGCAACATGAGGAAACTTACATGACAGATGATCTCCACAGGACTGGGCCAAGGCCATCATAAGACACTGAGGTTCTTACCAGAAGAAAGGCTCAGAGCAAAATCCATCTGTCAAACACTAAAAATTTGCCAAATTTTCTCAAATTTGCACTTTTTTCAAAATACTTGCTACCAGTAAATTGCATAATCCTATATTCTGTGTGACTGCCTTCATAAGACAGTGGTACTTCTCAGCAGAAAGCAGTCAACCATGTTACCTGAAGTAGTTCAAAACAATATCCATACTGAGGGAGAATCTCTGGCTTAGAAACAGCACTCCAACATGTTCATTTTCTAAACCCTGGCACCTGAGGCCATGGATGACACCTCTCCCTCAGTGTGGTCCAGAAGCTCATCAAATTGTATCAATTTTCTCTCCTAATAGTCCTCTGGAATGTCCACTTTTCCTCCTCTCCACTGCAAACCTACTGACACAAGCTGTAGCATCCATAACCAGACAACTAGGTATTTCTAACCATAGCCACACTAACGTTTTCAAAACACAAATTAAAAGTATCTCATCCCAGACTGAAAGCCCTAAAAACAGTTAACATACCTATAGGGTTTTGCAGTCTGGTCCTGACTTGCTTTACCCTGAGCTTCTGGCTCTTATGTTCTGCATCCTACTTACCCTAACTTTTCCTGAGTCTCCTATATATAACTGCTTCCTCCCAATGGGGTCTTTTTTGTTTTTTTTAATGTGTATGCATATATTGCCTGCATGTAGGTAAGTGCACCAATATCATGCAATGTCCACAGAATAGAGAAGAGATGGTCAGATCCCCTAGAACTGGAGTTAAGGACAGTTGTTAGCTGCCATGTGGGTGCTAGGATTCGAACCTGGGTCTTCTGCAAGAACAGTCAGTGTTCTTAACCACTGAGCTCTCTCTCCAGCCCCCCAATGGAGTCTTTATACACTTTGTTTTTTTCTTCTTGTATTGAGGACATGAATACATCTTTCATATCTGTCAGTTAGCTTTCTATTGCTGTGACAAAATATATGAGACAATCAACTTAAAGAAGAAAAGGTTTATTTTAGCTCATGGTCTCTGAGGTTTCAGACTGTCCCAGTCACTTTTGGGCCTGTGGTAAGGGAGTATATCATGGAAAAATGGCCGAGGAGGCTGCTCACCTCAAAAGAAGAAAAGGAGAGATAGATAGGGAGGAGTGGGGCCAATATTCCCTTCAAGGGCTCAGCCCCACAATGAACTAACTTCTTTCCACGAGGATTCACCTCTGGAAGATTCTTCCACCTCTCGGTAGGCTGGCCACCAAGTCTCAACACAGGAGTCTTGAAGGAACAATTCTGATACAAACCCTAACAAGGTCTCAAGGCAAATCACTTCCTTAGAGCTGTCCATGGCCCAATTTGTTCAGATATTCTTGTTAATACATTCAGTGAACTCTGCATCTTTCTCCCATAGTACTGTGATTTTACTTAGATAATGCCTCATACCTTCTAGACAAGAAGCTCTACAAGGCGGGGGGGGGGGCTCACCTTGCCTGTGAGCATCTAACACAATACCTAAAAGGGGCTCAGTAGTAATCAATGGTGTTTGTGATGCTTCAACACCGCAAAAATAAAAAGAACACTCCTTTCAAAGTGTTTTGTCTACAATCAGGATGGGCATACTTCACACAGCCACAGGTTAGGTCACAGGGTACTTGAGATGCTCAATCATCTGATGAACTACCACAATGGCTTTGCCAAAGAAGCTTCCCATATAATCCTCACTAACAGTGCAGGAGGCTTCCAGGTTCTACACATTCCCATGAATACCTGCTTCTATCCATTTGTTTGTCATGTGGCATTGCACTGTGCCTATTCCTGAGTGATAAATGACACTGAGTATTTTTTTCATGTGCCCACAGTTTGTGCACATATATGTATATATATTCAGTTCCTTTGTATGGTACTTATTTTTCCTTTAATTGTTGAGTTTTAAACGTTATTTGTATATTCTTATAAAAGCGTCTTACCAGGGGTATCATTTGCAAATTTCTTTTCCATATTCTGGGATTATTATTTTACACTTGAAAGCTTTTAATTTTGGTGAAGTTCAGCCTACCTGATTTTCTTTTGTTGCATTGTACATTGTCA